CCCGCCTTGGCCTCCCAGAGAGCTAGGATTACAGGCGTGAGCCACCGCGCCCGGCACATATCTTATTTTGAAGTTAAAAAACAAACGGGCAAAAACACCTGCATGTGGCCCGCAGGCGGTAGTTTGAGGACGCCTGATTTAGATGGTACCACAACCCCTAATATTCTTAATATTAACAATATTTAGATGGCACCCTAGCCCCGAATATTCTTAATTATACAAATTATATGGAGATGGGATTTTGTGGGCTTGGAAACTCAAAATGAAATGCTTTCTTAGGTACCAACAACTTTTGAGTGTTTTCCCAGTTATTTATAGTATTTCTTCTTTAAAAAGTAAATTTTTTTTATAAAAGGCAAATTTGCTTATAGAAAAATTTTTGCAATATGTAAGGAGGTAAAAACCCCACCACTCAGAAATGACCATTTTTAACGTTTTGATATATTTCTCTCCAGTTTTTGATGCACATTTATAAATAAAATTAAGATCATATTATATATAATTATACAAGGCTCCCCCACAGCCTTTTATTATAAAAATGTCAAACACAGAAATGTCTAAAGAATAATACTATGAACACATATAGATTTAATAGTTGTTAGTAACTCACCATAATCTTAACTATACATATATGTATACATAAATTATACATTGCTTTTTAAACATAGTTATGATAGGAATATTAATAGCTCATATGAAGAAGATCAAATAACGATTTGGTGATCTACAGTGTTTGCCTCTTTTTGGTTTATTAGTATATATCAGCAACAACAATTCCTCCAGTTGTTTTGGTCATTAAGTATGAGTCTTAAAGATGCAAATAATTGAAGTCTCATATTTTTGTGGGACTCCCATGCAAATGTACATAATTAAAATTGTTTTTCTCCTGTTAAAAAAATGAGAAAAATTATAACTTAAGTTTCTTGACAATGAAAATATCCATTATGTTGTTCTATGCAGCTCTGATTCTGTGGGGGAGAAAGAAATTATTTAGCAATTTTATTGTTACAGTTTCCCAACTAGTAAGTGATTTGGGCTTTGTTAGCAAAGAATAGCCCAGTTATTGTTTTAGTTTTCATTTGAACTATGGCACAAAAAATGTGGCATGAGACATACCTTTCTAAGATAGAGATTTTTGTAAAAGGAGGTAGAGACTAACTCAAGATGGTACTGCAAGATTAAACTTTGGTCTAGTGTACCAAATATCTAACCCCACATTAGTACTTTCAGATTTTTGAGTTGTATGTAAGTTAAGTACAAGAAAGTCTACCAGTCCTTTTGTTATAACTTCCCCATTATTGAGTTCTTAGATATGTTATTATTTTCTTGATTTTCTCTCTACATAATTAGAAAAGTTTTAAAACTTTTTTGCTGGTACATTATATACAGTCAGAAAAACACAAATTGTAAGTGTGGGTGGAAGACCTCCCACCATATGCTCCCTGTTGAAGATTACCTCCTTCTCCTACCCCAAGGTAACTACTGACCTGACTTCCAACACCAGA